AGTGTGGGGTGAGCGTGGGGTGAGCTGTGGGCACTGTGCTGTGAGCTGTTTCGTGGGCCGGGGACGTGGCTGCTGTTATCTGACCATTGGCTAGGAGTGCCCGAGGGCGGGCGCCGGGCAGGCCAGGGGAGGCTCTGGGCCGGCACCTGCCGGGTGGCATCGCTCAGGACGTGGGTGTGCAGGGCCATGTGCCTCTGCCCAGCAGACAGTCCCTGGTCGCAGGTGTGTGGCCTGTCCACGGCCAGGACTGATGTTAGTCTCCCCGCCACGAGCGGCCCAGACCCCACTCGCACCTGTGAGCCCAGGTGACCCCAGGTGACCCCAGGGGAGCCGGCGGTCACGCCCCGGCCTGGGCCCACAGGAGTCAGGCCCGCAGGGCTGGTTCTGCAGAACACAGACGGGCAGAAGCCCCCCGGCTGCCACCAGCGGGGGGCAGGGGGCCTCGGGATGGGTTGACTGCAAACCCTCCTCGTCTGCCCCCAGTGACTGGGCGTTTCTGGAGCCCCCGGGCCCCGCCGTCACCTGGCTGCTCCTGGGCCGGAGGGCGGGACCCCCGGAGGCCAGCAGCGAGCCTGCAGCTCCGGCCTGGGGAGCGCTCGCAAAGGGGAAAGACCGGCTGGGTCGCGGGTGCTGATCTCAGATGGCCGCCAGCTTCCGCCCCTCGCACCCAGGAGCCGGCCCCTCGGGGAGCTGGGGCCAGAGGCAGGCCAGACCGGGCCGGGCTGGAGGAGGGGCGCAGAGGGAGCCTCAGGGCCCAGGCTGAGGCCACCCTGCCGTAACGGCCCCTTCCGCTGGGGGCCGGGCCTTGGCCGGGCCCAGCAGCCCCGCGGAAGGGCCTGGGGGAGCCGCGGACGATCCCGCTAGCTCTGGAGACGAGTGGCCAGGGCGGCCTGCAGAGCCCGTGCGTGGGCGCCAGACGGCTCACGACCTGCTCACGACCTGCTCCCGCGGCCCAGCCTCGGGCTCTCACGTCCCTGTGAAAACATGACACTCCGGTCACTGCCTTCCTGACTCGCCTGGCCACGCGTTGAAAGTGTCCTTAAAGACGAGCTTCTTTTTTTAAAGATTTATTTATTTGTGCACACAGAACTGGGGTACAGGCCAGAGGCTCAGGGGCAGTGAGAGGCTTCACCAGAGGGGAGCAGAACAGGCAGATCGAGGAAGTCCACTGCTGAGGGGGGCAGCGGGCGGGTCAGGAGAGGTCTGCGGCACCATGGGGTCACCTCCGGGGCAGGTGGGGATCGAACTCATGCGGAAGTGGCTTTAGCTCCTCAGTGCAGTGCTTTAACCCGCTGCGCCACCGGGGAGGGCCACAAAACGAGCTTCTTTTTAACCCAGTGGCAGTGGTCTCAGGTGGCCTGTTGTATTTCGAGCCTAGGATGAATGTCCGCCCGGCCGGGGACAGTCCCCTCTGCCCGTCTGCCGGGTTCAAGTGCAAACTCCTTTCCTGCCGCCGAGGCCAGGCCAGCAGGATGACTCGGCTTGGGGGGGCTGCTGCCAGGCGCCCAGCTTGGCGGGAGTTGGGGTTCAGCAATGGTGGGTGTAGGGGCCAGCCAGCCTGGATGGTCCTCTGGCATCGTGAGGCTGTCCCCACGTGGTCAAGACGGCAGCCAGCGGCTTGGCGTCCTCCGGGGGCTCAGAGTGGCCGCCCGCACTAGATCGGTCTGTCGCCAAGCGGTGGCCGCCCGCCGCCCTGCCTCCCCGCGCTCCTGTGGCCGGGGTCACCGCTCCCCGGACCCGCGCACAGGGTGGGTTTCCTGCGGATTCGTGGGGGCGTGGGGCCCCAGGCCTGTTAGTGCGGCTCCTCCAGGGAGGCCTGACCCGTGGCTCCTGCTCCCTGCAAACGTGCCACCTGGCAGCTTGGGGGCCGCCGGGGCTGCTGGGCAGAAGTAGGCCTTGCTGTCCACGGGGACCCCGTCAGGGCCGGCACCGTGAGCAGCTCTGGCCGGGCAGGTGTGCAGCTGGAGGCTGCAGCCCGGCCCTCCACCTCCTGGGACGTTTCTGCCAGGCCTGGCCTCAGGGTGGCCAGTGCCAGTGCGCGGGGTCCCTGCGGCTGGGCCCGGCCCTCCCGCGGACAAGGAGCCCGCTTGCAAGCTGGACTTGGTCCTGGCGCTCGAGCCCAGCAGAGGGGCCCGGTCCCGCGGTCCCCCGCCCGCAGCGGGCCTGGAGGGTGAGCGGTGGGCTGGGCTCGCCCTGGGGTGAGCATCTGGGAGGGAGCAGGTGGCGTTTTGCTTGCTCCAAGCGCGTGTGACCCCTGTGGAGTCCTCTGAAAGGTGTTTATGGTTGTGAGACCAGAGAGAAAGAAGTGGACAAGTGTTAATAACTCCAGGGCCTGTGGCGGCCTTGAGCAGGTGAGGTGGGCAGGCCTCGGCGGTGGGCAGGCCTCGGCGGTGAGGTGGGCAGGCCTCGGCAGTGGGCAGGCCTCAGCGGTGGGCAGGCCTC